TATAGAACTTTTCGATTCAATTTAGTCCATAGTTTTCCAACCTTTTTTAGCTCATCGCCCCCTTTTAAAATATTTTTTGTTCAGCGCTCCCTTGATCGTAACCGGTAAACTCTCTCTGAACTTTAAATAAAGCATCAAAACGAAAATTATACAGAATCAAATATAAATATTTAAAAATTATACAGTATAATATAAATTTATAAATATTAAAAATTTACCATTAATGAGAAGTTTTGGCTTGATTTAACGCTGATAATTCGTCTATATTTGGTTCCTTTTTTGTCAAAAGATTTGTAACCACACTAAATCCACGTTCTAACTAATTAGGATGAGGGAAATTCAATAAAAAATTTTTTTATTGACGCAACTTATCTAGAAGTGAAGAAATTGGGTATGACGTTTTATTTTTTTATTCGAAAATTGTAGCGAATATCTCAAAATGTTATAAGATTTTTTTGTTCTCCCTGACCCCTTCCATGCCCTAACGTGGCTCGTACATCATTTTTCTGGACACCCTGTATTTAGCCCTTTGGTTGACTACATCATGTTGTCATGTCGAAATTCAGGTTTCGGTAAATATTTCTTTTTCTTCTTACCGTCTTATTACACAAACAAAAAATTAGTTTTAAATAATTATCGGAAAGTATCTTGGCGTCGCCAGGTTTCCGAAAAAAGTACCCTGACGCCGTCAGGCCTCGCCAGGGCTTGACTGCACCTACGTTATTAAGGATTGAAAAATTTGGCAAAGAATCATCGATTCAAAAATTATAAAAGCATTTTAAAGCGTGAAATTTGTACTTTTAACATTAAGTTATTGATCGTTTTTAATTTAATTCTGCAGTATTGGGGAGATAACAAATTTTTGCGATAGTTTTTCTCCGAGTTTCAACGTTGGTTGTTATACAAATGCAGGTTTAGCTTTAAAATCGCGTAATTCGACCAAGAAAAAGTAGATAAAACTGTACTTTTTTGTAAAATTTTTTTCGAAAAAACGTTTTATCAAACTACAAGCTGTTAAATGTATGTAATTTTAAGAAACATTATGTTTTTGATCATGTAAAACGAAAAGTTGCATTTTTTAAAACATTCTATTTACATGTTAATTATTTTATAGAATAAACTATGTAGAATTATACACACATTTTCAAATATATAATGTATAAAGTGCTCGGCAAAAAATATTTTATATATAATTATATATAAAACATTTTTTCCCGGATGCCCATTTAAATCACATTTAACATTTATAATTAAAAATTGTTTACATACATTATTTCAAAATGAATTACTTTGTTATAAGTTGAAACAGCTTTTTTTCAAAACTATAATTTGCTAGCTGTATACACAGACATACACACATACGCACTCACGTACGCACGCACATAAATATATGTATAGTGTATACATATACACACATATATACATAAGTTCTGCGATTGGCTTTTAAATATCCTATATTCTTATTATGTTTAACATATATATTATATATACCCAGTAAGCAAAATGTTAGCAGAATGTCAACAGACTGACAGCAGATTGATCAGGGAATGTCAACAGATTGACTAACATTTTTACCAACATGAGGAAATACGGTATTAAAAAATTCTGAAAAAATTCTGAAAAAATTCTTAGAGCTCTATGAGAAGAAAATAAACAATTTTCGTCTCTTGCAGTTTTTCTATAAAATTGATAGTATTTGAGTAAAAAATTATTGGAAACCAATTTTCGGCAATTTTAAGCAATTAATATCTTGTTAACTGTTGCGAAAATTGCAAAATGGTAGAGGATTTTTCTTCTCAATTTAGTCCATTTTGCCCCTATGCGAAAAATTTATCATTATTTTCCGAACACTCTGTATAATATTGAGACTTGAGATTATATCCGATGGATATGAAAAAATTATATTAGAACGCGTCTTGGTGTGGTATATATTCTATAATCTTTTAGAAAATACAAAGCACGAAGTTTAGACATAACTTGTAAAATGTATAATCTCGTGTACGTGTCGTTTAATCTGAATTTTCACGTCACACATATGAATGCACGCATTGATTACATAATGCTACATGTTTACGATAAGATTTCTTTAATTATAAATATTGATCTGCATGTGTGATCGTGTAAATAGTAAATATTGTCAACCCGTGTAAAAGTATAATTTCCAAGAGTTTCAAAAATGTGAAAAAACACAACACAGACATATACATACAATCGTAATGGATATAGCAATTATACAATTTATTATTATCTAAAAATGTAAGATAAATCGACTAAACCTAATATATGAAAGTTGCCTGAATTTTTTATAAGATATGCGGATAGATATCTGAGAAAGATTTTTTCAAAACCTACTTCAAAAATAAATGTTTTATTATGTAAGTGTTATACAATTGTTGGATTGAATGATGATGATGATGATGATGAAAGCAAGAAATAAAATAAATTCTTTTCTTGTAGTACATACATATATTATAGTATTACTATCAACATAATTGAGTGATATATTGATATTAATAAATAAATATAGAATTTAATAGTTTATCTATTCTATGTTTTGTATGTATTCTATGTGTTCTCAATGAAAACAGTTTATGTTGATTAAGATTTAAAATTATACATTAAATTGATAAATTCCATAAACCAAAAAAGTTTTAAATATATCCTATTGTATACTTTATAATGTACTTATACTATCGAACACGAATAATATATGCGAAAAAGTGAACTTATTTTCATTATGTATAGTAAAAAAGAATTCATTTTTGACACGCATACACACACACACACACACACACACACACACACACACACACACACAGAGCTGTGATGAAGAACCAGGAGTCTTAAGCTTATTACTTTAATTCAAGCAATTTCTGGTAGTGGACATTTTTTACATTAAATTTTTATAATTTTTATGCAAATTTTAGAATTTTCGTATAATTTTATAATTTTTTAGAAAATTTCTTAGATTTTGTATACATATAAATCAGAACAATTTTTTGAAGTGCTGACAAAGTTTATCTTTTTTAGAATTGTTGATGTGTGTAAATTCGAAATATTCTATACGATTTCTAAAATTTCTCATTCTATAATTTCTAAAATAAATTTATAAAATCTGAAAACTTCAAAATATTTTTTCAAAAATCTTCATATAAATTTAAAATATGACAAAATCTTAATATCATAAGATATTATGAGAATTTTCTCACGTTAAAGATAGCACTCAGAAAAAAAGTCACATACCAATAATTATAAATTTATAGTTAAATAGCGCCTCAATATACATATAGTTGTAATTATATATATGCAGTTCTAATAAGAACAATGAATAAATTATATGAATTAAGAAAATGTAGTAATATTATCATAAGGCAATATTAACCAACTACAAAATGATTAATATATTACTATATTTTGTTCTCATTAAAATTTTATAATGCACAGTTACAAATTTTTGTATGTATAATATAGATAACTCCTAGGAATTTCAAAGTTACTGAATTTTGGTACAGAAGTAAACACTGTACTATGGAGATGCTCCTCTCATTTACTTTTGTCTTTGAAATTCGAATTCTGCAATGTTGCGTATTTTATTATATGCTGAGTGGTTTTCTTCTTAAGAGAAATTGAATTCTGCTGCATCCCTCTGGTGATCATTTACCGCTCATGGCTGAACGACTTTATTGAAAAGATTTTGAATGTATTTTTAAAGTTACCTCAACAATAATTAATTAGTTATGATATAGTGTGCTTTATTTTAAAAAAGTGTTTGCTAAAATTGAAAAATATAATTGTTTTATTATGTCTTACTTTTTAATTATGAGGTCTAAGTAAATATTTAATGTAGTTGAGATGCTATTTCACTATCAATTATAATGGTATACAAATATTGTTACCGTAACTATATTTTGGCAGTGTTGAGTACTAGATTAGTACTTAGTAGCTATCACTCTGTAAAAATAGTTACAGATATTATAATTGTTACCAATATTACCACAGTTGCCACAACTATTTTTTTTTCTCTCAGTGTAGTATTTACGCCAACGAATTTACACCAAATAATACATCACAATAATTTATATTACAAAACTTTATTTGTTAAACTACATTTAATTTATAAAATAGTGTTTTTTAATTTTTCAATCAAACTTTTATTTCTCATTATCAGTAGACGTGTATATGTGTATTTATTTATTTTTTGATGACTGATTTATTTATCGCTAATGCGCATCTTTGTAACCACTCTCACAAATATAAAATGTTCTGACAATGAGTAAAATAAGTATTCTATACAGAGATTTTAAAAGAAATTTCGATTAAAATTTAAAATATCTGTACACCCAAGAGGACTTTGTGTGATTCTTTCCCTCGGTTACTTTTTTAAAACTTTCAAAAATTCAGGTTATTTCGTCTTTACGTTAAATTTAGTTGTAAGCGGATATAAAGTTTAGTCGTGTCGTTAATCGAGCACGGACTATGAGCATTAATGTAGAAAAGTGGTTATTTCTCAGTTTGTGAAAATTTCCGAGGGAAAGAATCGAAGTGGGGTACATATATACCTGTTCAATTATCTTTTACACAGCATGCTTGTATTTAATGATGTTCAAGGCATATGTTCGCATAATTGAATATATGTATATGTATGTGTGTATTTATATATATGTACATATATATATATATATATATATACAATATAATACATACCAAGATTTAATTATAACTGAAAATGTTGTACCTAAAATGAAAGAAGCAAAGAATTATATTGTAAAGTCAACATTGTACAAGAAATGTAAATAAATTAGATTGAACCAATAAATAAAATAATATATAATAATTTTGAGTTTTCTTTTTCCTGCTCGTGTTTAGTAAATCTTTAGAGATAAATTCATTAAAATAGAGAAAAAAATCAATGATTTATTCGATGAATCATTGAATTGAACTTTATATGTAATATGAACTTTGATGCAATGTAAAATATGTGCGAGATACTTCCTTTTTTTTTTCTATTTCGAAAAATCTTGCGCGACTATCAACGTTGAATACTCTTTCAGCAGATCATGCTTGTTGAAATGTAGCTAAAGATTTATAGAAATGTATTACTCTCCAATTTTCTCTTTTCGTTTAATAAAAACAAGATATCTTTTTTCTTGTCGTTTCGTCTCTTTCTGCAATGGAGTTAAATTGCCATGAAACTTTTTTTTCTGTATGTTATATGCATGTGTACGTGCGTATACGTGTGATCGAAAAGCATGAGTCATCAGGGTTGAATAGTAACTATAGTTAATAATAAGTTTAAAGTTAAATAAAAAGTTCAAAAGTTAAAAACTTTTAACTTAATTTAGTTAATTTTATATATAAGTTAAAATAAATGGCTTATAAAGAATATAAAGTGTGTTTAAATAAGTAAATGTTTAATTTTTTGAATTAGATTAAAATTAATTTAACTTAATTTGGTTATACTTTTAAACTTTAATTTATTAACTTTTTTCTTTTTACTTTAATTTATCAACTTTTTTCTTTTTACGTTAAATTATTTTTTTTATCTCTAAATACCATATATTATATTTTCTATAAAATCTTGAACATACCTATGCAGATACTCAGATAACAAAATATTTGCACCGAGATTTGCACGATTCCATCATAATGCACTATGATGTCGCAAAACTGCTAACTCCGCATCGCTCCGCATCTGACGAGCTGATAGAAAGCAGAACCTGATTCGAGCAGACTCTGCTCGGTTTCTGGTACCAATCTGTTGATATAGCCCGTCAGCAGGCTTTGTCGACAAATCCATAACCAAATGCGGGCACAAATCGATGGCTATGATTTTGTAGTCAAAATCTGACCGAGTTTGCTGTCAATTTAATTGGCCCCCAAGTTGCTATATTTTACTATCAGGCGTGGTTTGAGTCTGCATTTAGGGATCGCTATCACAGTACTATTGCATCATGCTATTCTACTTGTTTTACGTCTAATGGACGATAAAGAAAGAATAAAAACTTTTTCTTTACATATAACTTTCAAAGAATGTGCAGATATGGCACAAAAAGGAGTATACAAAATTATTTACATAAATGTAATTTATTCATTTATTTTTATTTTCCTTTTATAATATAAATATGAAAAAGTACCTATGTAAAAATACTAAAAATCAATTTTTTACTATACAAGAAATATACGTATATCTTTGTTATTATTATAACTTACAAATAATATTATTTATAAGTTATATACATATAATAACAAAAATAAAAATATTAAATTTGTCTGATTATCTATATTATAATTGTTCTGTTACTTAAATTAATCTAATTTTAAGAAAAATTAGGATATTCCGATTTAATAAAAGTAGTATTATTCAAAAGTAACTGTTCATTTAACATGAGTTAATTCAAAATAATTATGTAACTTTAATTGAGTTATTTTTTGTTCATTCAACTTTTAAACTCAACTAAATTGATTTTATAAGCCATTTATTGTAACTTAATTTAATATTTATAAGACATTAATTTATCCAACTCTGTGAATTATGTAACAAAATTAAAGTTATACCTCCAAGTCGTGTTTCTCTAGCTTGTGATACTTATATATTTGGCTAAGTTGTTCCAACATTTTATATCTATCGCCAATTTCTGTATCGTACTTAGTTATTATCGTTAATAATTTCGATTCAGTTATCAATCTATATACGTAACATAATTATAAATTATATAAATATATGATAAAAAAAAAATGATAATTTCAATCTATGCGCACGTACTTTCGCTTACATATTGTTTGTTCTTTTTTCATATTTATATCTTTTAAGGACTCAAGATCATCGATAATATTTTTTAATGCTGACTGTATTTTATTTTGCTCGTATACCCACGCTTTACATATAACAATTTGTTTCTTTTCGTATCTGACGCTACCAAAATAGAGCACACAAAGTATGATAGATGATATATATTACTTATGTAAACAGCACGTATGTATAACACTGGATAAATATAATAATATATTAGGTATACAATTAAATAATTCATTATTTTTTATGGAATTTAATATTTATTGTCAAAACATATACCGACCCCTATGGGGACATAGTTCAATCATGAGTGTTGCTGCAACTTTTGTGTAACTTTGTACTATTAGAGTTTTGTTTTTGGGGTATATGTATATGTGTGTTATATGTTATGTTTCGACAATAAATATTGAATTTCATAAAAATAATGGATTATTTATTTGCACATATATATCTATAAAAGTATAGTATACTTTTGGCTGCGATACAAAGATATAAAAAAATCTAAAAATCGATACTTTGTACTTGTGATATATTCGTTGCATCTTTTGTCAATTTCATTGATAGCAACTATATTTTTCTTGTGTTGTTTGATTGTGTCCTCGAGCGTTTTTTTATGTTTAATTCGTTGTTCTTCTAGATCTGTAGTAGACTCTATATATGTCCAAAAGAGGAAAGAAAAGAGGAAAGTTAATTTCTCTGAACTTTTTCCTACGAGTTTAATCATGGTTGTACAGTCGAAAATTCAGTCGAGATTCAATATCTGTACCATTAACTTTATTTTATTCTCTCACACAACCAGCTCAATTATAAATTTTAGTAAACTTAATTAAAGTGAACAAATAATTTGGACTCCCGAATAAAATCAAATATATAGAAGTGAAGTGCAAGTGAGAGCCGGCGTAGAAATTAGTGCATTATACTTTCATTAGATATTAATATGAACTTAATTAATGTCTTCTTTTACGTTGTTCCGTCATTGTTTTGTATTTGCTACTTGATCACGTATGCGTACGTAGAACAATAATATACAGTGAATGCAAAAAGTATTCGTATACAGAGAAAATATTTTTTTTTAATCTTTATTTTTTAAAAGTAAATATCCAGCAAGAAATGAGTCCTCGAATTGATGTCGAATAGAAATCGGTACGATGATTTCAACACCAACTTGATGTCAATTCGACGTTTAATTGACGATCATTTCTTGCTGGATAATTAACAATTTATTCATAAAGAATAAAATAAACTATATGTTTCTTAAAATCTCTCTCTCATACATTGCGAAAATTGCAAAATGATAGAGGACTTTTCGACTCAGTTTAGTCCGCTCTATCTACACAAAAGCGATTGGCAAAAACTTTCGGTACACCCTGTATATACCAAAAAAATGTATATTAATTATAGAAAATGTACCATCTGAAAAATAAGCATTAAGCAATAAGAAAATTAAAAATTGTATTGTTTAGATGCTCAAAAAGTATTCGTACAATCGAGAAATTTACGTTCTAAAATCAGAAATATATGCAAAGCTTGTTTGTTTGTTAGGGTATCTGTCATGAAACTTTATTTCTAGGATGGAAAGTAAAAAATGAAAATTTAACCATTGAAGTTGATGGAGAAATTTTTCACTTTTCATTTTTTATCCTAGAAAAAAAATTTCATGATTGATACCCTGAATGTTAGAACAGAATGTATACATTGTATAAAATTGTTAATTAATATTTATTTTCTAATAAGACTTTTTATAAAAAATTTCTTTGTACGAATACTTTTGCACTCACTGTATAGCGTATTAATTTAAAATGATATTGTCATTCAGAGTACAATATAATCATGCGTGAGAGTTTGGAATTTGAACAGATGTGAGGCTGCGTTCAATGCTTTTAGTGCTTTCATCGTTTCTGTCCTTGTTTTATATCTAATGAACGATGAAAACAAAATGATGATTATAAGCGCTTAAACGTCCAAACTGATTGTAGCCTAAGTAATATATTCTTAATTTCCTAATAGGGACTTTAAGTAGATATTACTCAATTCAGACGAGTCTAAAATAGAGGAACGGAAAAATTTCGACTGTACTGTACAGTTTTAAAAATTATATATTTTACTAGCAACATCTTCAACAGATTTCGTTTGACAATACCAAAGTTTTCTATAATACAATTCTTTATTCCTTTCTTGTTCCGGCGTAAAATACATTCTGCATAAAACATATTCTAAGAAATAACGAATATGATACAGAAATAAAGCCAATGTCATTGAAATATAATGTTTACATGGAGAATTTGTGTGAAGATTGTCGACACATTTATCAAGAATCTATAAAGAATAAAAATAAATATAATTAAAAAGATATAAACTTAAGACAAGAAGAAGATATATTCCTCTTCTTTTGTAATAAATTGTTTATAGTTATTGACATCAATTTAATTTCAACTTTTGATTCATGGTTTCATTAAAATCTTAACGCAATTTTTTTATAACCAATGGTACATTTTTCTTGTAGATGTAACATAATATGTATGTACATTACTCATTAATATGAATAAATACAAATTTCAAACGATACGTATTAGTGATTGGAGACAACCTTCAATACTTTATAGACTGCATGTTCAAATCTGAATATATCACACCAACTTTCTTTAGAACGTACATTTGTCTTCGAATTCTTGTTAATAGATGCTAAGGTACAAAACGTTTATAATTGTAAATTATACATTAATTTTAAATCATCAATAACTACAATTTAAAGTATACATACTATATAAGAAAGAAAAAAATATTACATTAATCTCAGAAATCTTTATAAAATTTGTCAGTGTATTTTTTTTAAATCTTACCTGATTGCAGTAAATATTTAGATTTAGAACAAAATTCAATATTGCACGAAAAGACATTATTTATTATATTCATTTCATCGGTTGTTACAGATAATTCAGAGTTCAATATAAGGAAAGGCAGAGCTCCCTAAAATCATGAATCATACTGTAACATATTAATAAGCGAATATACTAACAAAGTGACAATATTAATTACTGCTAATTCCATTTTTTCTGTCACACACTCAAAAATAGTTTTTATAGGCGTCAACATCATCGATCCTCTTCCAATATTTTTTGCACATTTTCCATCGAACCATTTTTCAGCAATCTTGCGTGTATAAAAATTTTTTCTTCCCTACTTCCCTAAGTAAAATTTAGCATAAACTTTTGAAAATATAGATTAACATACATACAATATATTTTAGACAACTACAAATATGTCCTATATGCCACAGATATATTAAAGCTATATGCTTTTAAATTTGATATATTTTAGCTTTCAAATCATAATCTCACAACTAACTTCACGTTATTGATATTGATCATTAGATACATGGTGGAATTAGAAAGGTGACCATTGCCCATAATGGCAGAAGTTCTGTCATGTGATATAAAATCTCGATCAATCAGAAATTGAGCTCATAATTATATATGTATCGATGACAAAATCCAACTGATTAGTATTTAATGCTATGCACGATCCGTTCATAAACAAATACATAAAATAAATTTGTTTGAATTTATATTCTTACAATTACACAAATACATACATGATATAATTTGGCTTCACGAAATATGTTTATATTCATTTTCGTAGAACTTTTAGTCATAACTAGTCAAAGGACATAACATGATTTCTTGCACCATAACATAGTATAAATATATACAAATACAAATAATAGTCTGACGATAGAATCAATACATGATGGAAGACTCGTAAGGGAGTTTCTTCCACCATGAGTCAATAGAGTCTGACTATCCTTGTGTATATGAGGAACAAAAAAAAGAAGTAAAAAAATTGGAAGAGCAAATAAACATCTATGATAAAATGTCTTACTATTCATAAATTCTTACAAGCCAGTATTCATAGTCCGTTCTTATTTTAAGACAGTCTTAAGTAATGTCTTAAGATGCTAATACACAACCCTCTGACTGGCTTATGACATCTTAAGACTGTCTCAAGTCTTCTTATATTTGAGACTTATGATAAATCTCAAATATAAAAGTCGACTATGAATACTGGCCACAGTATTATCTTATCATAAGTGTAAAAAGCCCAAGGAAATAGGCATGTAAGAAAAAAAGATCAAGATGGAAATGTTATGTGAAATACGTGTAATCTTCTTTGAAAAGACATGCGATAAAAGAAAATTAACGAAAGTAATTACAATGATCAAGATATTATTACTTGATTACGACACTCTAAACGATAAGAATGAAGGTAATGTAAAAAAGATGATAGACAGAAAATCAATAGAGCACACAGCAACTGTATTCATCATTTAAATCTTGTAACATGTCTATTATTATACGCATGTTATATAAGTATATAAGATATAGTCACATAACGGAACATTATTCGATTTACTTGTAGAATTCATGTTCAGATTCATCTTTCTTAATATTATTTTTATAACCTTTTTCAAAATCTTTCGCTAAAACGATGTAACGATTTTCACGAACCGCATGCATTCCTGCCTCTTGACAGATAGCATTAATATCAGCACCAGAAATTCTATCTGGTCGTGCTACATAATCCTCGAGATCCACTTCTTCACTCAAATTCATTTTTGCAGTAATTGTAGAGAAAATTAAGCGCTTCTGTCGACGATCAGGTAATGGAAATTCAATCTTACGATCTAATCTACCAGGACGAAGCAATGCAGGATCCAATGTATCCGCTCTACAAAAATACATAAGAATAAAGGTGAAGATATTGCTGATGGCTATACAGCTGCCTCTAACTTGCAAATTGCAAAACGTAGTTCGTAAATGCAAAATGGCATAGCACCGCACGCAAGATATACGCAAATCCAAACCAACTGCATGACATGATGTAAGTAGACTACTTGCATTATGCCACATACAACGAATTGAACTACAACAGTAGCGTTAACATTTTAAAACATTGATAATTTAATTTAAGTCAGGTTACAGAAACTTACTGTGCATTTACTTTTTACGCTCATATGCTGTAAACGCTGTGACACGAAGCAAAGTCGTTCACTTTTTGTTTTATAAGCGATTATAAGTATAATAATAATGAATAAAAAAGAATTTATTTCAATATTATATGGACAAGTGTCAATTCTTCTGTCAATGGATGACAAAAAGGATTATGAGAGAGAGAGAAAGAGATCCTCATAGTGAAAATACCAAAATGTGCATATTATATAAACATGTCCACTAGCCATTTTTTATTTTCAGATTATACCACGCGTTCATTGCGTTTACTTTTTGGTTATAAGCGTCTGTAAGTGCTCACACTTTTGCTGCCTTATCTCGATGGACAAAGCGTTTGTGAGTAATATCTATGACGTCACAATAAAGTGTTTCTCTGCTCTTCTCTAAGCACTTACGATAGAAAAAATGAATGGTGTAAGCGATGCTTATCAATGCTTAAAGCACGTGAGCGCAAAAGTAAACACATCCTGTGTCTGATATTTTCCATATTATAGAAATTTATAAAAAGGGTGGCTCTCTGTTGATAAATAAGCAAGTACAAAATTCATTTCTGCTATATTACTGGTCAATGCAATCGCCGCAGTGCAAAAATTAACATCATAGTCCATAATCTAGTCTTGTCTAGTCTAATCCAGTCAATTCGCAAAATACAGATCGTTATTTTACGACTGCGTTTACAAAATACATTTTGCAATTTGCAAATTATGTAGAGGCAAGTTAATAACATTATATTTTTAGCGGAGTTAGAATTAACTCACCTATTTGTTGCCATAATAACTTTGACATTAGTTGTTTGATCAAAACCATCCATCTGATTGAGTAACTCCAAAAGAATACGTTGCACTTCACGATCTGCCCCAGTTTGAGCGTCAAATCTTTTGGTAGCGATAGCATCTATCTCATCAACAAATATTATAGCTGGTGAGTTCTCTTTTGCCAAACGGAATACGTCTCGTACCATTCTTGGTCCTTCACCCAAATATTTTTGCACAAATTCAGAACCCACTACGCGAATAAAGGCAGCTAGGAAATAGACAACAATATAGTTATAAAAAAAGAGGATGTTAAAAAAGATCCGATTTTTTGCCCAAAAAGGTGAGAAATAGTGTTTTCTGTGCTTTGGCCTCCTGGATATAATCAAAATTATTAAAAAATTTGTGACGTTTGAGAAACATTTCGAAAAGTGAGAACGTTAAAATTTGAATAAATATACATGTTCAGGCTCAATTTTCCAAATGTCCCTCAAACTTTTTAATAATTTTATTGTATTTGACCAGGAGGTAAAAATCTATGAAAAACACTTTCTTTTCTTATATATATATATTTTTTTTTTTTTTAGCAAAAATCGACCCTTTTTTTAACATCCTCCTTTTGTGTATCATTTTGTTATGCAGTTAGGTTAAATATTTATAATAGTTCTTTAATACCAGTGGTATGTCTAGCAACAGCTTTTGCTAACATAGTTTTTCCACAACCAGGTGGTCCATACATAAGTACACCTCGAGGTGGATCAATGCCAATCTGCTTATATAATTCAAAATGAGTAAGAGGTAACTCCACTGCTTCTCTGATCTCTTGTTTTTGCATATCCATTCCACCTATATCACTATATTGGATATCTGGTTTCTCATCTGAATTACAAATCCAATATATTTTATTTTAATTTAATCTCAATGTAATTATTTATTTTTAGTAGACTAAGGAAGGAAAAATCATAGTAAAAAAAGGCGATTATCAGATGTAGAGCAGTAAAAAAAAATATTGAATTAAATCTTATATATGTAATTAGTAACTTTAATTATTAAGACTTTGATCCTATTTAGAGTTTTATCAAATTTCAATTTTGTTAATTTTTTTTAATGTCTTAAAGCATGTACAATACCCAAAAGTTGTAAATTATTACCTGCTTGTAACATAGAAATGCTAGAATCAGCTTCTGGTGGCAGCACATCCACTAAAGCATTGCTATGCTTGTGGAGCGCTACACTAGCAGAAGGCTTTAAGAGTTCTCTGTCTATAGTAGACAAAATTCGTACGTAATAATTTGAGCCTGTTGTAGAACCCACTATACCAGTATTCTGATCAACAGCTTCTAGGAATTGTCCAATGACCAAAGGTACACTCTGGATACGTTTAACTTCTTCTTGAGCATGCAAATATTCTTTTTTCAGATTACGTTGTTCATCTTTAATATATTCCTCTTGTACTTCAAGAAATTCCAACATCCTCTGTAATTTCTACTCAAAAAATATATTTGTAATATGTAATAATCCTTTATTTTTTTATGTGTTACGAGAAATTTGATTAATTCGGACATAATGCATAATGGCTGAACAATATGCATAATGCCTGTTTAATTTAACTCCCCATTTTTCCTTATGTAAAAGTGTTTCCAGGGGCGCATATTCTATACACATCTACCGACAGTTGCCATTATGCATTACCCGAATTAAATTTTCCATAACATACATAAAAGTAAAACATTATTTACGGTATCGATAAAACTAATGATAGCCAATGGCAAGGACTATCCTAGGAAAAAAGCGTAATTCTCACTGGCTGATGCTACTTAACGATACCAATAATTGTCGAGAGACATGTATGTATACATATACATACATACAAAATATGAGCCCTGTGCACCATGGATGCGCAAAAAGGCTACGTTCAGCAGAACAACAGTTTTACAACTGTTTTATCATTGGCCGCATTCAACAAAAAAAGCAGCTTTGCGACTGTTGTAAAATTCTCTTATAATTAATATGATTGGTCTTGTCCTTAGTTCCTCTTGGATCTAAATGTAAATCAATCATATTAAAAAATTTTACAACAGTTGCAAAGCTGTTTTTTTTTTTTTTTTTATTTTTTTTTTTTTTTTTTTTTTGCTGAATGCAGCCATTGTCTGTTAAGATAGGTTCCTTCTTCTAGATCTAAAAGTATAATCCAAGCACGAAGAAAATTTCCAACAGTTGCAAAATAAACGTTCTGCCGAATGTAGCCAATAAGGTCCAGTTTCATAACTTACGGTTAATTCTAATCGAGATTCAACTTGTCTCTTTCCAATTCTAAAATTGGAAAGAGATAAGAAACAAGTTAAATCTCTGTTAAGAGTGTTAACTGTGAGTTGTGAAACTGGACCTAAGACTGTCACGTACAGAAAAGAGATGTCAGGTCAAGTGATTTACCGTTTCCATTGGTTCAAAAGTATATAGAAAACATAAGCAGTATGCAAATGTAGTTATTCTGCACATGTAATACATATATTTTGACAACAGTTTAAAGAACAAGTTTGTGATCTAATGTTACAGTGGATGCTTTGGCTCTCTATTTGATGACACAAGTTGACACAAACATCGCTCAATCCTTCTTAACATTCAGAGTGACAAAGATAGAACAACACTTGTGTTGACTTGTGTCATCAAATAGAAAGCACCCAATATAATTCTGTGATAGATGTGTGTGTATGTGCATGCGCACAATGCGCACAATATTAAATATTAGATAAAAAAATTTATATAATTCCATTTAAAAAAGTAGAGGTGACTCATATCTTTTTAGTATCTCCAAAAAAAAACCTAACCTAATTAAAATTAGTCCTCAAAACTTCCATTTGTGTCTGAAACGTTTTCCTTTTGTTTTCTTAATCATTTTGTCATTTTATATAGACCTATCTGTATATATAAGTATAATATTTATAATACCTTATATTTAGTATAAAGATCTTCAACATCCAACTCATCTCCAGCTCCCGTGTAGTGACCAACAGCTGGTTTGCAATCAATTTCACCTATATCCTGAAAATACAAACACAAGTTTATATGAATATGTATCTGTGTGTGTATGTAGATATGCCTATATATATGTGCATAAGTATATATGTATATTTGCATAAATATGTGTGTTGCATTTCATGTACAATTTTTTTTATTTAAAATTATCAGTTGTAATCCCATGAAGAAGAGGTCTAATGATAATTTTATAGTTATACAGAAAAGGTTACCATTACGTCCACAAATCCAGCATGCAGACGCAATTAATGATAAACGTACCTTATCGGGTAAAATAATGCCTAGTTCTTCCATTATAGTATAAGTTTGTACGAACAAATTTAATGAAATTATTAAATACGTTGACAAGCAACTAATATCAAATGATTTTAAACGAACTGAATGACTTTAGATTTTTGAGCATTCGTCACAATTAATACCCTTCTTCTTTTTCACAAGAGAATGGCACACGACTCCTATAACGGAGTCGATTCGGCCAGTATCGAAGTAGCCGCACCTGGCGGCGAGTATTAAAAGCTTAACCACGAGTGAAGGGTCCTCTACATAGGGTGCATTCCACTTAACGTTCGCAACGCTCGCGAGCATCGTTTCGTCCTTATCGTTTTCACATATTAAATTAGAATGAAATAATGCTCGCGAGCGTTGCGAACGTTAAGTGGAACGCACCCATAGAAGTCGTAGATGGTCGTGGAGTCTAAAGGCCATTCTACATTGTTCGTATCGTAGCGTCGGAAGCGTCGTAAGTATCATACGACTTTAAAATTGAAACATTGGATTGGCTGAAGCAACAAGCTTGTGACTTGCTACGTCTACGATACGACCAATGTAGAATGGCCTTAATGCGGGGGTCTACAATAGAAGTCGTAGCAGTCGTAGGGTCTTAAGTCGTAGAAAATTGACCAATCATAGTCGATTATTCTTCTCATATTCTACTGTGATTGGTTAATTTTCTACGACTTAAGACTTTACGACTGCTACGACTGCTATTGTAGACCCCGCTTTAGCCTCCGACTGTACTATTAATAATACGACTATTATGCTGGATTCACACTGCATCCGATTTTCGTCGTACAACGCAGATCGGATGCAGTGTGAATCTAGCGTTATTCTCTGTTCTCTGTTCCTTTTATTGTGCGGAGCCCCTTATTCTGCGTTATTCCGAATAGCGCTAATTGGTTGTTTCAATGACGCATTCTCTTTTTCGCAACCCTTTTCCGCATCGTGTGATTTCACCCTAAGCCCATTCTACATTAGACGCAAGCCGATCGCAAGTTTATTGTGACAGCCAATCTGAAGCTTGCATTTTGAAATCAACGCTTTAGATTGGCTGTCGCAACAAAATTGAGATTGCGTGTAATGTAGAATGGGCTTAAGGCAAAACGTGGAATAGCACTAGGGTCCTATTCTTGAACAAAATCGCATACGAAAATAGCAATTCCGTATACAATCGACTAATCACAATCGAGGAACTGTCATTTTCGAATGCAAAAATTATTTATAATTGTGCTCAAGAATAGGACCCCTGGTTGGTTGCTTCAATGACGTATTTTCTATTCCGCAGTCCTATTACGCACAGTGTGAATTCATCGATCGATTGAATATGATTGGTTGGATCTATAAGTAACGACCAATCATACTCATTTGCTCGGCGAGCAGGTTGGCCCAGGTTAGTCGCTTCGTCAACTTGAATGCGCTCGTTGTGTTTACGGCTTTATGCAAGTCTGTGCTCCCTCCACTTAAATTCCATAATCCATCGTGCGACGGTACAAATTGGTGTCAATACTGATCAATACGCATAATTACGTATGAATATAACGTGATTAAAAGCGGTTAAAGATTAATCTTATTTTTTTACAAAATGTCAGCTAAAATAAAAAACAAAGTACTTGTATACGAAGGTAGTAATTATCTCAGATATCGCCTATTATTATCCACATTATCTGGAAAGCCAGTAAAAATTACAAATATTAGGACAAAAAATGATGATCCTGGTCTTAAAGGTTAGTAATATTTAAAATACATAAATGTTTCTACATTTGACTATCTATAAAATTGAAATAATATGAATAAATGTAAGTACAAAAATGCAATAATTTAACATTATCAATAATGCTTTACGTATAATTAATTTTGTTTCCTGATTTAAAAAAAAATATATAACTTAAATAGCCATGTTTTGTTGCAGTAATTAAATTCTATAAAATAAATTTTTTATTGCTGTGCACAAGAATTAATGCTATTAATTGCTACATTTCAATATTATACATTAATACTGTTGTCACTTAATACATTATTGCTGTTGTCACTAGTTACACATATAACAATTTATATACAAGATGATCCAGATCAGCTGGAAGGATCAGTATGTGTGTACTGTTTATGAATCGAAAAGTCCTCTATTATTTTGCAAATTTTTTTTAGTTACTCAACAAGGAGAATATCTAAAATCAACGTATAAAGGACAACTTTAAGATATCTTTTAGAGCTCTTTAAATATCTTTGAGATTTTTATATCTTCATAAAGAACTTTGAAAGATATCTTAATGTTGCTTTATACATCGATTTTAATTGCATATTTGGTAATTTTTAGAAATTAGTATCTCGTTAATATTGTTGCTGTCATTACAAAATAACAGAGGACTTTTCCGTTTATATATATGCTAGCTCCTCTGGCTGGTTTGCATCACCCTGAGTGTGTGTGTATTATACATACATAATTATATACATTTTTAAATAACTTTAATTCTTTTTATAACAGAATATGAGATTAGTTTTATCCGTCTGTTGGATAAAATGACTAATGGTACAAAAATTGAATTAAATGAAACTGGTACCAGTATATATTACAATCCTGGTTTATTACATGGAGGTGAATTGGAACATGATTGTAGCTTGCAAAGGGGTATTGGTTATTATTTGGAAGCAATTATGATACTTGCTCCATTTTGTAAAAGTCGTATTGATTTGAAGCTCAGAGGGGTGACCAATAATACGATAGGTACTGGACAATATATTGACAATATATATCTGTTATAAAAATCGATCATTAATTTAATTTATATTACAAGATCTATCAGTGGACAGAATTCAGACTGCTGGTATACCAATACTGAAAAAATTTCTAACAGGTGACAATGAAGTTATATTAGATATTCGCAAAAGAGGAGTAGCCCCTTTGGGAGGTGGAGAAGTACAATTTAAATGTCCTATTAATCGTAACCTTAAAACTATTCAGGTACTTACATATTTACACATGCGTGCACGATACCATTTTGTATTATCTATTCTATTTTTTTTTTGTCAGTTGGAAGATAGTGGAATGGTGAAACGTATTAGGGGTACAGCATGTAGCATAAGAGTTTCTCCAGCAATTGCTAATCGTATTGTTGAATCAGCAAAAAGTGTTCTTCTTAAGTTTTTACCAGATGTATATATTTATGCAGACCATTGTAAAAGATCAATTAGTGGAAAGTCTCCTGGTAATATCATATTATAGTGTATATTTTATCTAAATGTGTAATTATAATCTATCATTTATCGTATTGTATTTTTGTCATTTCTATTATACATTTTGTTATATATCAGGTTTTGGGGTGACATTGACAGCGGAAACTACTAAAGAAGTATTTTTTAGCGGACAAGCATTCTCTCCATTAATGACAACAGGTTCATTGCCATGTGTACCTGAAGATCTTGGTAAAGAAGCTGCAATCAAACTTTTAGATGAAATTTACAGGTAAAAAGATTATATTTTCTTTATAAATTCTTATAAGCGCTTATAAGTGTTTTTTATTTAAGCTCTTATAATCTTATATTGCCTTTACATTTTTAATTGAATTTATTGATTTACACATAGGAATGGATGTATAGATTCGGTTTTTCAAAGTATGACTGCTGCATTTATGGCTCTTGGCAAAAAGGATGTTTGTAAAGTTATAATAGGACCATTAACTCCAGCAATGTGAATATTATTTCTTTTTTTCATGTGTACGTGCATGCGTGCGTGCGTGCGTGCGTGCGTGCACGCATGCATGTGTGTGTGTTCTTTTTTCATGTATATAGGATGTTTCAGACTCGATGCACCACCTGCTAATGGCAGATTCCTAAAGTCATTTTGAGACAAAAATTCTAATATAATGTTCAAGCTAAATATTTTTTTAACATAATAGATATAATTTTATCTTTGCCTACATAATATTTATATTCGATATTAACAAGAGACAAACTGTTAGCTTTTGCTTTTAATATTTGCATTGTACCATATCTGAACGTGCAAATTTTAGATTTAGGTATAATTTGCTGTGGTTTTAAATGATTATAATTAAAAAATTATTATTGCCTTAACATTTTGGGATTAGAATTTTTGTCTCAAAATGACTTCAGGATTTTTGCTATTAGCAAGTGGTGCGTCAAGTCTGAAATATTCAGTATATAAAATTTCTTTTTTCATATATATTACATACAATATAAAGGAAAGAAACATGATTGTGTCATTTGTGGATTATTTTCAGGATACAATTTCTACGCGATTTACGGGACTTCTTTGGAGTTACCTTCAAGATAGAACAAATCAAGGAAAGAGAAGATGAAACATTATCGCAAGTACGTTTAACTTGTTTAGGTATAGGTTATACTAATATAAGTAAACGAACTCTATAATGTTGTAAATATTGTTATTGTAAATAAGTTACACACACACACGCGCGCGCGCGCATCCACATCCTTTTTTACCTATAATATATCAATGATATAATGGAATTTTTTAAATTTTATATACAACATAAAAAATATGACTTTAAAAGACGTATTGTATCTATACAATTTTATAATGCAAAATTTTGCAAATGCATTGGTTTACATGGCCAATTATGAAATGATTCACGTTTCAATTGTTTCCATTCATTTTGATAAATTATTGACCATTGCTTCCAATCATAATATGTAATCTTTTTTGGATGTCTTATTTCACTGTAGTAATTTTGATATTTATCAAAAATTTGCAAAAAGCTTTGCAAAAGCATTCGTCTAGTTATAAGTAAATTATTGCCCTTTCTCTTTTTTGTTATCCCTTGCTTTCTGCCTGCAACTGCTATCTCTAATGCACTGTATACAAAATCTAATTTTATTACATAAAAAATAATTGAATGATCGATGTAAATTGATGCGTATTAGAAATATTATCGATACCTGTTCCTTACAGCACACCATATAATGCTTATTGGACAGGGATATGATCTTTGCTGTCCTTTCTTGTGCATAAAGACAGTTTTTGTTTGAAAAATATTGACTCTAACCAACTTATTATTAAATCTCTTATATAATCCACGTTCCATGGCGTCCAAAGAAAATGGAGAATCGCCTCCAATTGTGATACTTTCCAGCTTTATTGGTGGTATTAATAATGATAGGAGTGATCCTTGTAACCCAAGAATAAGCCATCTTGAACAAAAAAAATCAATTTATAAATATGATGCATCAATGTCTGTTTATAGATATAGTTTCCAAACTTACTTTGCTATCTTATCTGAACAAGATAAACTACTCGTGGGATCTCCTCTACCTGGCTTGGTACGCAAAGGTCCCACAATATGATAATTTGCACCAGGCAAATGAGGATCTTGTGCTCCTTCTCCTTTCACACATTTAGCTCCTGTTCTGTGTACATCTTTATAGTATGATTCTACAATGACATGTCCATTAGCATCTTTGTTGACACATCTAATCTTACATGGAGACAGATCATTTGTTTCCAATTTAGGAAAAATAGAACAATCCCCACACGGCGTTTGACTCGAAAAAAAATGAAATGATATATTCCTATTTAATTCTATTTTATTTTTGTCATTCCGTGAAAAAATTGCACTCCCAGAGTCACTCAAAGTCAAATCGATCTGATCGTACAAGTAACGTATAAATGCACGCCTAGTTATAACCTCCGCGTGTGAATCGCTTAATCGAGAACCTTTTTCTTCTCGAGAACCTTTTGTCAATTCTGAATCTCCTAAACATTTCGTCCCAGTAGCAAGTGCCACCACAGACATTAAACCGTCAGCATTTTTTAAAACAATGCCAGATAACACAGTCCATTCATGAGCATTAGGTTTACCAGTTTTTTTTAGAAAATTGTATTTTTCTATACAAAGTCGAGCTACATCTTCTGCGAAGTTTTCCATGACTACATTTATACGGTACCCAACGGTACCTAAGGCCGGCGGCCATGGAGCAGAAATAAATAACGAAACAGAATTCGTGGAATCAACACGACGAAAGGCCTAAACACAATACGAAGCAATAGCGATAGTATAGCGATAGGAATAATATAGAAATAAGAGATATATAAACTGTGACTGTAAAGGCCTAAACACAATGCGAGGCAATAGCGATAGCGATAGACATAGCGATAGCGATAGACATAGCGATAGGAACAGAGGAATCCAACATACAGGAATCCATATGTCAATGCACATAGGAACATGGAATAACGATAGCGATAGCGATAGCGATAAATTTCCGGCGAGTTGGAATTCTGTGTCTATCGCCTTATAGCTTGTTATAGCCTACCAATCAGCATTCAGATTTTACATTCTGTTCTTCTTCTCCGCTATAACCTCTTTTCACGATCTGTCGACTCAATTAGTTTGATTATGAGAAAAGTCACTGCTTTAAAAACACAAAGGTACTGTCTACAAACACAAAAAGTCATTTTTGTGTTTTTAAAAAAGTGACTTTTTGTGTTTGTAGACAGTACTTTTATGTTTTTAAAACAGTGACAGATAAAGCAGTGAAGGTATGATAGATATCCTAACCGGAATAGTCGTGAACTTTAACGATTAATATCTCGGTTTGCGAGGCAGAGCGACGTTTTTTTCTGCCAGATTCTTTCGTTTTATGCAAAAACGCGTCGAATGAATATAATTTTATCGATTTTTGAGGTGATCACCCTGAACTTTACCTTTACCCATTATAAAATATATTTACCAATATTTTTTGATGAAAATCTGTTTAAAAAATACTTTATTGAAAAATTTTTGTCCTTAAAGAAATTTAGTGATTGGTGACCCGTGTCCTGTAATGATTTAACATTTTTAGGTTACGTCTACTGAAGCAGAAGAGCATACTACAGTATGTACGCGATCTGATTGGTTGGCCTTTATTTATTTCGCCGCATTGTGCAACGGGAGGCGATAGTTTATGTATCTCTTATTTCTATATTATTCCTATCGCTATACTATCGCTATTGCCTGGCATTGTGTTTAGGCCTTGATATGCTCTTCTGCTGGGCTGCGTTCAGGAATTACACCCAGATAACTGTAAGCTATAGATTACGTTACGTATATTATAGCAAAAATGCACCCTAGAGTTATCTAGGGGTGCGTTCCGTATCGCGCATGATGCGCATGATGCATCCATTGTCCTTGTTTAACATTTGGTGAGCAACAAGGATAAACGACGCATTATGCGCA